GAGGAGAATCATTGTGATATCAAAAGGGCTATAATACTGAAACACTAAGATACCCAAAGCAACTCCACCTCCTATTAGCAGACAATAATAGATCTATAAATAGGTGATGGCCAAAAAATTAGTTTCATCATACCTTCCTCTTCATCTCTTTCAACATGTCTTCAAGACCCGCCCTTTCCGTACCAAGAGTCTCCAACTGCCTCTGCAAATATAGACAGCCAATTTGAAGAGACTCTCCATAAATAAGCTAAATGCAATAACAAGCTTGCTGATACAATCCAGTGAGAAAAGTCCCTCAAGACAACTGTGATCAAATGTGGAATTTTATTTCTATCTTCATAGTTTATAAATCTAATAGACAAATATACATATATATGTATATGTTTGTGTAAGAGTGTGTGTGTGTATATACACATACATACATACATACATACATACATACATATGCACACACACACATATATATATGAGATCAGAAATTACTCCAAAACATTGATGTGGCGATAATTCAATTAATTACAAACCATATGCATATAAAAACACAAAGGAATATTGTTTCAAACAAGAATTATAAAAGTATTTCAAGTCACTGGTTAACTAAAGTGCATTAAACTGGCTAGTGGCTACGTTAAATCATTAGACTGGTAAATCCAGAAGTGGGGGTTGTAATTGCATTTGATCAGGCATCTACAAATGGGAAAAACAATGTATCCATGCAATATCATAGATTCAGCAAATTCTAAAAGGTTCCATCAAGAAATAAATTATGTATATAAGAGCATAATTGTGTTGAAGCTATGTATTCATACAGCCATGCATATTATAGCCTCAACAATATGAAATTACCAATCTTTGCTTCAGGCCTCCCACTATAGCATCTTCAGTGGCATCCAAAGACATTATTGGCCTTGCCAGAGTTGGAAGGGCAGATTCTATCTATCAAAAATGAAAATGCACCAACATAAGGATTAAGATTCTATTAGCTTCAATGGGGATAGAAAGAGATGTAGTGTCTAAAATTGAAGAAAATTAAAATTATGCAGTACGCAATCCCAAAGTTGAAAATTTGATATTGCAAAAAAGTCATGACCAAGAAATTGATCAAGAATATGGTCAAAAGACCATTATTGTAATTTTTGAAGGTAATTTTAAGAAATGGATAGATCCATGATGTTCATCAGCAAAATGCACTATATATCAGTGATAGAAAATAATAACTGTATCTATGTTAACATAAGTATGAAGAACTCAAAATGAAAATTAAAATCTTGTCCAGTCAACTGACAACCACTAAGATGCAACTAAAAAAGTGAAAAGACAACTAATAAAGCAACTTGCTATCCATGATAATTATGTTATAATAAAATCAGCTTCAAATTTTGAAGATATAACAAGGTGAACAAAATTCATGTAACTATCTCTAAAAACTTACTGGACGACGATCAAGAATCGACATGAGTGCTGAATGTTCTCTCACAGATCTCTCAATCCGAGCATCACTCTCCGAAGCTTGCTTCAAATTTGCTGCAAACCTATTTAACCTGTCTAGCAAATTCTTTGTTAAGGTGCTAGATTGGGGCCTTGTCCACCGTGTTCCAAATTGAGTTCTAAATTGTGCATCCTCCATAGCCTCTTTCTGTAACAGCTCCTCAGTCTGAACTAACAAATCCTGGTTAACCCTCCTCAAATCTTTAAGTTGCTGTAGTTCACCTTCCAAGCCAGCTGGTCCACCACAATTCTGTACAGCCTCTACATCATTTTTCAATGCTAGAGGCAAAGTAGAATTTCCTTCCAAAGCAAGAATTGAATCGGGCAAGTCCATTTCCTTCAATCTCACTCGAGCTAGTTCACTTCCCTGCTGCAATTTCTCAGCTTGAGTTCTAATAACATCATCGACCATTTCAGTGTACCTAGAAAGAGCTTTTGCACTGTTATCAGGAACGAGACTTGCAAACATCTTATCCTTGCTAGCATCCAGCACCTCATTCATAGGCATAGGCTTCACCATAGAAAAAGTTGGAAGTGGAGGTAAAGAACTAGCAGGAGGAACCCTCATTAAGTAGACTCTATCATTCTCCTTCACGGCCTTCTCCAGGTTTTGAGTCAGGTTAGCTTCTAATTTAGTGATTGCATCCAAGAGCTGCTGAGCTGCCCCCTTGGGAGATGACTTTTTTGCTTCAGACAAAGAATTAACCCCACTCTTTAGACGTGCAATTTCTTCACCAATCTCATCTTTCTCATGCAGCTCTAAACTATATCTATAGCATGCCTCTGCATAAAATAAGGCAGCCTTTAGATGAAGATGAGCTATCCAGGCCTTCTCAAAATGTTGATTCAAAGGTGCATTATTCAATGCAACCAAAGCTTCCTCATAATACACGCCAACCTATTAACAAGACCATTTAAATTGATCATCAGATCCACACGTGAACAAAAAGACCTAATATTGTATGCCGCACTACATAAATTTCAACATTTACAATTTCTAAGGAAAATATGGCTTCCGTTATATGATATTAATAACCATAGCATGTGCTAGGCTGCTAGCAATGTAATTGAGTTCAGGCCTTGCACGTGTGAGAAATTAAGAGAGTTTGGAACAGCAGCATAGTAACATAAACTCAACAACCTGCAATTCCCAGAATTACATAGCTCCTTTTCAACAAAAACTGCTCCCAAGCCAACCCTACAGATCCTTAAAATAAATTGAAAAAATGTAGTTTTTCTTTTAGTGCTCAAGCTCCAAGGAAGCAATCCAATTATGTAAAACATGAGATAAAATTTATCCGAAACAAATGGACACTTTTGTGCCTTCGTGACTTCAATCTTACAGTACAACATATGCATCCTTACAAGTGCTTGCTTTTACTAGATTCCATCCTTTTGCTTAGAGATGTATTAAAAAATTAAGAACTCGTCTAAATTGCAAACTTCCCATCTGACAATTTCTCCAATCATTTCATTCAGGTATAGTACTAAATACAGTCAAGACCACGACATCGATACTAGATTTTTCAAATCAAATTCAGGCTAAGAACAAATGAATTATGAGGGCTTCAGGACCTAGGAAACTGAATGTACTCTGATCAACAATATCTCTGGTCTTTCAACAAAAATTCATATGTGCCATTTGTATGTTCACGAAAAAGTAATGTTGAAAAACATCCAATATATGATCCCAAAACATCAGCAACAGTCCAATTTCTACAAAGAAAACCAGAAGCAGCAAAAAGATAGGTCCCAGTTTGATGACAAACCTGTCTTGAAATCTTTGCACAGACCCCAGGACTGCTCCCCTTTGCTATGGTATTCTCGTACACGCACTCCTGTGCCTGGGCCAGCATCAGTCTCTCCAACATTCCAGCACATTCAACTGACACATCCAAGGTGGTCGAACCTCCAACTGACGCTTTCACCGCCACATTATCTCTTAGAAACACGAATGCCCCAGCAGCTGCTATAAATGAATGTGAAGCCTGCCTCCTCCCCTCCACAGCAGAACGATCAAAACTCAGTCCCATTTGACTGTGCACCGCCCCCAAATTAAACAATACCGCAGCTTTTTCTATACAAATTATGTGGAGAAATTTTTGACTCAGCTACAGATAAAGTCAAAATAATTCTTGCTCAAAGAGACTGAAATTATTAACATTACTATGTATTCGCAGAAAATCAAGGTCGCTAATTCAAGGGCATCTAGGGATAACACTAGTATATTTTACCATGTGTTAAGCATTTCTAACATTAAAAAAAAAAAAAAAAAAAAAAATTCATGTGCCAGAATGAATGCTCTGCTTAAACATTTTAAGCATGTTTAGCATCAATGTGTTTTGTACCCTATCCATGAATTTTAACAAAAACTTTACTGATCTTTTCTTTTCTTAGCAGATAAATGTGGAGCACCCCGCAGGCAATAGCAATTTAGTTATTTACAACCTAAACTATAGCACAATTGCTTTGTACTTAGCACAACAACACTTGCACTACTAAATAAAGAAAAAACTTGCGTATTCCTTCCAGACCAAGAATATTGCATAAAGAGTTGGAACCCATCAATATATATGTAATTTATAAAAAATACCTAAATGGATGTTCTGTTGAGAAGCCTTTTGTTTATTCTTAAACGCGTCGAACCAAGTAAAGGACACAGAATTGATGTGATCCTTGTCGGGTGAAATGGGGAACCTGGACTCGACTGCACAGAGGGCTTTATAGTAACGTTGCAAAAGGTCACGGCGAGCAGGCAACGAATCGGAGGGGCCTCGCTCAATATCTGATCGGAGCTCCTTAAGCGTCTGGAGATCGTCCTCCAAATTCTGGGCCTCGCGTTCCGAGTAATTGATGACTATGAAGTTGCGAAGCGGCCTGTACATATCTAACGAATTGGTTTTCTTCTCGAAGATCGCGAGCATGATGTTAGTGGTCGACGCCGTCGAAGTCGCCATCATAGGTGGTGGTGGTGGTGGGTGTTAAGGACCGAAATGGGGTTTAATTGATTGGATTAATTCATATAAGGATTTTTCGCAGAAATTGTAGTCAACGGGAGCTTTGGTTGAAATATTCTACTGCCGTGTTGTTTGGTGGAACAAAAGAACTTTGGGATTTTGTTTGGTGGCCATTTTTTCAAGAAAACATACATTTGCTATGTGTACAGCTGATTTTCTGACAGCCCACTTAATCCTACAATTATCTTAATCGCAGGGCTCGCGCGTGTAATGTGAGAGAACTGTCAAATAAGTTATAAAAAATTTTGTACACCTAACGTGCTTTTTAAAAAAAAAAATAAAAGACAAAACGAAGGTTCAATCTGTTTTAACCATTGTAAAATCGTGAGATAATTGTTAGATGAAATTGCACCCCATAGCATTTTTTGAAATGACATTTTCAAAAATGTTACTTTTTTTAAAAAAATCTTTGCAAAAATGTCAATTTTAATCTTTTGTGTCTTCGGAAAAAGTTTAAATACCATGCATATCATTAAGAGGGATGGATTTAATTGAGACTTTTAAAGATTATTTGAGATTTACAAAGTTTAGATGCATTCAAATAAAACTTTTAAAGACTCTCTAAAAGTTTATATGTATTCAATTAAGATGGGTATTCAATTAAAACATTTTAGAAGTTCCTTTATGATTTATTGGACTTTCAGAGACTTTTTGGTGGAAAATATAAGTAGAAAATCTCGAAACAAATCTCCCATCTATTGTGAGATTTCTAGAGTCAGCTTCCTCTCGTCTCTTTCACACTAAGGTTTTCTCCATCTCTTCCAACCAAGTACAAAAAAATTTATTTGAATATTTACTTTGAGTTTTTCTTTACTGACGAGGTATATAATGTTAGTGTAATTCTATTTGATTTCGGATTTATAAGTGAGAATGTCTCTGGTTTATAATTTCCCTTGATTTATAATTTTAGGTCTCAAGGTTGCTCTTCGAAGATGATCAATCTGTTGCTATGAGAACTTGCATGAATTTAGTGTTAATTGTTTTACCATATCATATTGTTTAGAAAATAATTGAAATTAGCATGAAGTATGCAGATGGTAATAATTTGTGAATGAAGCAATTGTTTACAACAAATATCTTTGGGAGCTCAATTGGTCAGTCCTTCCACTATTGAATTGGAGGTTTCGTGTTCGAAATTCTTCAACAGTAATATTTTATTTTTTTTTATAATTTTTGTATTTTAACAATTTTTATCAAAATAAATGAACGGAAGGTAATTCGAACTTGCTCCCTTTCTTAAATATATTAACCACTTTATCATTATGGTACTTATTGATTTTTAGCACATAATGTAACAAAATAATATATGCTCAATTTTACTGGTTTAATACAAGTAGAAATATTTTAACCGGTACTTTGTCCTTCTTCTTGATTTTATTTTTCTTTTCTTTTTTCCCTCTAATATATTGATTTGAGAGTTTAGTCAATTAATGTTGAATGAATTAGCAGGAAAATTAACCTTAGTGTCATAAGGAATCTCTCAACAAAACTTATTTAATTAATAAAAAGTTACATTTTTCGTTCACAAAAAATTAATTGCGAAAAAGTGGAATCATACAAGTACATAAAATTGATACAAGCACATAAATAATTTTAATTTTGTTAATATAATAATGTTTGTTTAAATAATTTTTAATTGTAAACTAAATATTGACATTTTGTTAATATATATTGCTTATTTAATTGAAAAATAAATTATGGCATTTTGCAGATTATAGAACGATTTTTTCATTCAAAATGAAAGTTCATACCTAATTTTAGTTCTAGTGGTATATCTAATTCTTCTAATTCTAATTCGTACGATTTTTTAATATTATTTAATTAAATATTAATAAACAATTCCGCTATCACGGACATTGGCCTCCGATAGTAAGCGTTTGACGCTTGCAATCCGCCCTAACTGAACTTAACCTTTGGGTTCGCCCCTGATTGGAAGCTTCTTGTGTCAAGTAGTAATATAATTTAAAGGGTTTTCCTTCTTGCACAGACCCTTGTGCACACCCTGTGCACAGGGGTCTGTGCATATAGCACATCCCTAATTTAAAACACCTAACAACTTTATTTGAACGATAAAATCAGTGAGTTGATGACAATTTTTAATAATTGAGTTTTGATTCCTCTTCAAGTGTTTTACCAGAACAAGGAACATATAGCTAATAAATCTAGATGTAGAACTCCAGCAGCAGAAAAGGCGGGATGTATTAAAAGTACTAGTCTGCGTCTCGTGCGTTGCACGAATTTTGTATTTATTTTGGTTTTATTAACGTAAAATTTATAGATTGTACAAAAAGTATTTGGAAATAAGAAATATTTGTGTGATTCTCATTTTTTGGTCGACTGTATATTTTATGTCACGATAATTTATTTTTATTCTTATAAATAAGTATAATGAATGTTGTGATTGTATATATGTCAACGATAATTTATTTTTAATTATTTATTTTATTTTTTTGTTTAATATAGATGAAGATTTTTTTTTATCTGATATTACAAATAAGTTGTAAATTGAATTTTGCAAAATGCTTTTCTTTAGCAACTTCAATTTGAGAGGCTATACTTATAGTTCAAAAATAACACATGCAGTTGTAAATTGAAAGAGAATATCCACATATACAAATATTTAAATAACAAACTCAAGTTCCCACGTATAATAACTTGAAGTGGCACTTACTGGATGACCAACTTCCTTATTGGTGTAAGAATTAGAACCCTAACAGCATGCCTATTTTTCGGACGATACACCAGTCACTCCAAGGTTGGTAGGGCAAAAGAATTAAAAAAAATAAATAAAATTTATTTGAAAGAGAAAAAAATTAAAAAGAAATTTAAATAAATTGATAAACAAAACAATTATTTATAAAGTAAAATTTTCAATTTTAATTAAATAATTTTTATATATTCTTCATTTAATTTTCATAACTTTATTTTATTTTTTACTATTAAATAATTTTAAACGAATTTTTTTACTTATATAAGTAATTTTTACATATACTAGAAATATTTTTTGTTAATGTGTTTATTTTAAAAAATTTTTTTACTAAAAGTGATTTTTTTTTTTTTACTTATAAAAGTGGTCAGCACGAAGTAAGGCGAAAGGTATGAAAAGTTGCATGTTACATAGATTCACATTGCATCTCTTACACTATATATATAATATAATAATATAAGCAAATGAGTTGATTTGAAAAGGCGTGACAATAGCGTATGAAAATGGAGAACAGAAAAGTAAAAAAAAAAAATTGAATAATCCTCCGTGCACGGAGATCACACTATATATAATTTTTTTAATTATTTTCTCTTCAATGTTTTTAACCTATAAATAACTTTTTCGTTAAAACTGAAAAATTAAGTATTATTTGGAATAGAAAAGAATTAAAAAGAAAAAAATAATTAATTTTTTTAAGAAAAATGACTTATACGCATTTATTAACACATACGTTTAATTTCCGTTTAACTATTTTCGATATTTATTTAGATCATTCGATATCTCTACAATATAGTTTTCAAAATGAGTTTCGAGAGAATGTAAAACATTTATCAATTCGACCATCGTACAATCGTCGATGAATTTTTAAAGTTGGCTTGTTATCGAAAATTTCGAAATATAGTTTGAAAATACCTACTTTGACGTCCCATAACATTTGCTATGATTAACAGTTTCACGCACCATTAACGACGTGCAATACTATGCCGTGAGTACTTCAAAACGATATTAAGAATGTAATATTTCGACTTCATTTGATATCCCGTAATGAGCTTGAAAAAGAACACAAAAACATAAGTTAAAAAAAAAAAAAATCATCGGAGACCTCATGTCTCTGAGCACGGAGTCCTCTTATTTTTTTTTCTTCTTTTTTAAATAAAAACTAATACCTCTTTATACTATATAAATTAACTGCAATGTGTGTGTGTGTGTATTATATTTTTTTTTTTTACAATTTGAAGCAAACTTTTTACTATGTAAAGAAATATACTTAAACTTTGAGTTAATATTTAATCTAAAGTAATATTTAGATAAATTTAATTTAAAAAAATTCAATATTAATAAAAATATTGCTATAAAATTAAATATTGTCTGAAATTATTAAATATATCCAACTACGATAATATAGTTTTTTTTTTTTTTAGTTTTCTATATCTATAATAATGTAAAAAAAAATATCCATGCACTCCATGCACGGAGGAACGCGTCGTTTTTGCTCCCCACTTAAAAAAAAGAAATTTTAAATAATCGGAAAAAAATTTACGTCATACCGCATAAATTTTTTTAAGCAAAATGATGTATTGAGAAAAATGTTGTAAAAAAATAATAAATAGTAATAAAAAATTGATTTTTTTAAGAAAAAATGACTTATACGCATTTTTAGCACATACATTTAATATCCGTTTAACTATTTTCGATATTTATTTAGATCATTCGATATCTCAACGATATAGTTCTCAAAATGAGTTTCGAGAGAATGTAAAACATTTATGACTCGACTATCGCACAATCGTCGACGAATTTTTAAAGTTAGCTTGTTATCGAAAATTTCGAAATAGTAACAAAATAATTGATTTTTTTAAGAAAAACTACTTATGCATATTTTTTAACATATACGTTTAATTTTCGTTTAACTATTTTTTATTTTTTTAAATATTTCTGTTGTTTACATTATAATTTTTTTTTCAATTTAAAATTCTTTTCTCTTAATAATTCCAAACAAAAATTTAGTTTTGATTTGCATTATAAACAGTTTTTCTTTTCAACTTAAAATTCTTTTTTAATTTCTTTCTCTTTAATTTTTTTACTCACAAGTAACTTTTTACCTTTTAGAAATATTTTCTATTTTATATTATTTTTATTTTTATTTTTTAATAATTTCAGATAATATTTAATTTTATAGTAATAATACTGCTTTAAATATTTGGGGGTAGATATGAAAAGTTGCGTATTGCAGTAAATTTAGATTGTCTTTTCTTAAATATAATAATAAAATATATAATAGGTAAGGGAAACGGCGCCGTTTGCCTTACTTGCTATATATTTTCGGCGTTATTTGCCTTACCTGCTATATATTTTATTATATTGTAAGAAACTACTGTAACACGCAATTTTCATGCCACCAACCGCTCCGT